CATTCGGTCTGTTGAAGTATGTTTGGGTCGAAGTGTATGAAAAAAATGTGACCCTACACAGACATGTACTTGGCAAAGGGCCGTCTTAGACATTGGTGGCTTTGTACCCTGCAGGACAAATGTTAGTATGATAGAAAACAGAAAAAAAAAATTTAGTATTATTATGAAAATAGGTTTGAGTTGGTGGATCCTGAAGGGCCTCGAGGACCCTGGGTCTGACTGTGACTGAAGGAAGCTGGTGTGGAGAGCGAGCACTCAGATACCAGTGCCAAACAGGCCAGGGCTCTAAATCTGGGCTCTCCAATGTTTTGATGATGTGACTGACCTTACTTATTTGCACAATATTAACTACATAACCTTAATTAAGTTAATTTCTCTTACCTTCTATCCTCTTCCCATTAATGCCGATACAATAAATCTTATCTCATAGGATTTTTATGATGAAGAGATGCACATCAACCATTTAATACAGTTCCAGCCACATGGTGTCCGGTGTTGTTTATCATTATTAGATTCTGAGCCTGTTCCTCTACCTCGTGGGTTCTAGTGGAATGATTCACAGCTAGAAGAGCACTACCGTGCGCGCTAGGGCAGCACCAGTAACGTCAGAGGTGTGGTACTGCATCCCTCCCTTCTCGTTCCCTCTGCTCCTCCCGCTCCCGAATCCAGCTCATGTTCCCTCTTACTCAGTGGCTTCGTGGAGTTCCCTCAGAGCTGAGTGCTTAAAACACTGTCCTATCACAGAAGTTCCTGAATTGTTACGCTAGTTGTGACTCCTGTGCTTACGTCTGAGACAGATGTCACATTCTCTGCCAGGTGTCTTAGATCCAGTAACCATGTCCCCAGCTCCCCTAGAAGTGCACAGAAGTATGTGACTACCAGATCACGAAGTCCAGGGCTTCGAGGTCCCGGGATCATACAGGGTGGTCCAGACTGCATCGAAAGACCTGCCGATTCTTAGGCATTCTTTCCTGGAATGTCCCGAGGTGCCCCTCCCTGCCGCACATGAAGAAAATCGTCGCAAAGCATCAAACTGATGATCGATATGTATTTTACAGAAAAGGCTTTAATAATGTCAATGTGACAGTACTTCTGCATTGAGATGAACAGATAACATGACATGAGGAGGTGGGTTAAGAGCATGAATTAGGGCTGGCTTCTTGGTGCTGTGGTAACGTGCTGCTCAAGAGCAGCTGCGCCTCACACAGCACAGTTCGCAGTATGAGAGATATCTCCTCTTCGGCCAGCATGTAGTGTAGTGGTTAAGGTGCTGGACTTCCACACGGTCGTCAGGGTTCGAGTCCCAGACTTGTTGGCTTGAAACTCGCACTGGGCAAGTGTGCATGCATGCCCAAAATCCCTGATGGAGACTGGATGAGTAGAGATTGCAGCACTGGCCTTCCCCCACACACAGGGGGTGATTTCTCACTTTCTGTCTCTCTGCCCGACAGCAAAAATATCTTAAAAAAAGAAAAAAGAAAGAAAAATATATTTTCTCTTAAACTTGTGTTTGTATACACTTTAAAGTTATTGAGCCTTGATTTTCTGCTTTTCAAAATCAACGTAATAAGCCTCTTGCTTTTAGTTTTCCTCTTGATATCTCTTAACTTGAATTACCAGACCCTGTGGAAAGACCTCACAAAATGCTGAATATTGCTGTTCTTGCTTGCTGTTGGTAGGGGGCAGTATTTGCCTGGCCTAGTCTGCAGACCAGCTCTGCCTCACCAAGTGTACATAATCTCCTCTGGAGAATAGTGCACGTGCGATTTCTTTCATTGGGTTTCAGTTTCCAACTTTAAGTCAGGAAATAGCTAATAATAGCTCTAGGTTAATGAGACTAATTATATATGTTTTTATATTTGTAATCAAATATTTCATCATCTAATTACTTTTTTAAAAATTAAAACTTGCCAGGTAGGTATTCAAAATTACCTTCTTTTGCTCAGTGTATGTGTGTGTATCATACCGTGTTATGAAGCTTTACCAGTGTCTTGAGAAATTAGTTCAGATGAAAATATCAATTAAGATTTTAGAGAGGAAAACTAAAGAAAGAATAACAGGTGTGACAATCTCACAATATATTCCCTATTAATTAACCTGACCTTTGTTTAATTAGTACAAGGTGACTGGTACTGATGAGCATTTTTGAGCTGTCCTTTATTATATTAAAGATATTTATTTGACCTGAGTTAATTATTACTTTTCAGAGATTAGAATAAGCTTTGTTTTCATTTTTGTTTTTGTGTTTTAGGTTTTTGCCGTAGGGCACATGCCACACATGCGCTGGTAGGAGAGAGATCGAGAGAGGAAAATGAGAAGTCACCGCCCGTGGGGGACGCCATGCCACAATCCCTTCTCTCCAGATTTATTTCTGCTTTGGCATAATATGAACTTATACAGACAAGAGATGATGGGAGCTTGAGTCAGCATATCGGCATTGGAATGGTGAGAAGTTTTCACATTCTGTATATATTTTGAAAAGACAGCCAACAGAAAAAATTTATACGGTGTAGAGAAAGCCAGAGTCAGGACCAGCAGTTGGCGTAATGGCTATGTCATTGGACTCCCATATAGTCGACTGTGGTTCAAGTCCCAGACCTGGTGGCTTAAACTCACACTGAGTGCATGTGCCTTCATGCACAAGATCCCGAGAGGAGAATGGAGGAGAAGGAATTGTGGCGTGGCCATCTTCCCTGGTGGAGGGGCGATTTCTCACTTTCTGTCTGTCTCTCTCTGTCTTTGTCTTTCTGGTGAGTGCATGCCCCCTATAGCAAAAAAAAAAAAAAAAAAAAAAAAACTCTCAAAAAAAAGAAAAGAAGGCCAGGAATCAAGAATCATGGAAAAACCTTCTTTTGCAAATCGGAGCAGTTGGAAGGATGGAGCTGTGCTTACTTGAGATTTGGAAGGCCGTGCTCTGAGGTTCTAGTTTGGGGCTCAGTTCACGACAAGTGGTTAGCCATCAGGTGTTCCAGTAGACGTATCATGTAGGCATTTGGACATGTGAGTTTGGAATTCACAGGAGGGGTGAGCTAGGGATACAGGACCCTCTAACTATACAGTGACTAACCAGAGAAAAACAGAAGAGAGAAAGGTCCAAGAACTGAACCGGGAGCACTCCAATGTTTAAAAGCCTGGGAGAAGAAGAGCCAACAGAGGAGGTAGATAAGGAGCAGTCAGAAAGATAAGAAAAACTAAATGCGTGTGGTATCTTGAAGCCAAGTGAGTATAAAGTTTTTTGAGTTGGAGTAGCCAACTGCACCGAATCCTGCTGATTGCCAAAGAACTGGCTGTTAACCTTGAGCAGCACGGAAGTGACCGATGAGCAAGATAAGAGCAGTTTCAGTGGCGAGGTGGAGACAAGAACCGGGCAGGATGGAGTGCAGTGAGAGCAGGTTTCATGACGCCCGGCTGCTCTTACTGGAGTGCGAGTTCTCGACAGCCCAGAACTGCACCCATCCGATCCCCAGACACCGTCCTGGTGTGTATTGGGCACCCAGAAAGTATAGCATGAATTAACGAAGAAGCAAGTACAACCCCTTAACCCCCAGGAATCTTACTTTCCCACAAAGGCCATGATCAAAAAAGCCAGGGGGCTCCTGTGACTTTGCCGCCCTGCCCCTGCCAGAACCTCTCTTGGAACACTGACTTGTAAAGCCTTCGGCGTGTCGTTAATAACAATTCCAGTGGAAGTTTATAGAGTGTTACTGTGTGCAAAGCACTTTCACAACACGTACTCCGCCCCTTAGTTAAGCTAATTCTCTATATTTTGTGATTAGGTAGTAAACAGAGGGAAACAAATTTGTCACTCAGCCAAGAAACAGATTATTACTAATAATGGTGATATTATTATAGATCTTTGTAATTTAAGTCTGTTATGAAGCTTCCTATTAACTGAGAAAGTAGTAACAAGAAGTGCATGCTTTATAACACCTCTCATTGAAACATTGTGAACATTTAAAGCATATTATCCATCCTCAGAAATACTCAGGAAGGAACCTCAACCCTTATGAGGGCAGTGTTAGAGTTCTCCAGAGAAACAGCCCCAGGAGGAAAGATGTGCGTGAGGGGATGTCTGAGGAGGAATCGGCTCATGCAGTTGTGGAGGCTGGAAAATCCAACAGCCTGACCTCTGCAGGCTGGAGACCCAGGAACGCCAGTGGCCTAGTTCAGTTGGAGTCCTCAGGCCTGAGAACCAGGGAGCCAGTGACAAATTCACGTCCAAGGGCAAGGGGCGATGAGATGAGGTGGTCCACCTCAAGCCGTGAGGCAGAAAAGAAGGGGCAGATCCCTCCTCCCCCTTTGCTAAGTTGAGACCCTTGGCAGGTTGGACGATGCCCACCCACTTCGGAGAAGACGATCTGCTGAGCTCACCAGGTCAAGGGTCCTTCTCGTCTGGACAGACAGACGCACCTGCAAATAATGTTTAGTCAGATGTCGGGGTATCCCCTGACACAGACAATCTGGCCCTGAGGTTAGCTATCACAGGGTCTTCAAAATGTCAACACCATGGGAGCCAGCAGGTAGTGTGGTGGTTAAGGTGCTGGACTCCCACATGGCCGATCGTGGTCTGAGTCCTGGACCTGGAAGTTTGCTTCCTCATTTTCTCCCTCTCGCGCTCTGTCTCTCTCTGGCGAGTGCACATGCTCTATAGCAAATTAAAATAATAATAATAAATAAAAGTACATAAACAGTTCTTTTTTTAAAAAGTCAGCATTGTGTTGCATAACCTGCAAAGTATGCCCTGAAATTAGCGTGCTAGTGATGCCTGGGATTAGCCGTGGGGCTGAGTGTAGTGAAGGGTCCCTGACAAAGGTTCAGCTCATCTATATTGTAGATAAATACCATTACATCATAGAGTATTTGTGATAAGGACTGTAACCGCCTTTACTCTCTTATTTTCATGAATGGAGTGGACCATTGAGTTGACCGGTAATCATTTTCATTATTATTTTTATTTTCTCTTTCCCCATCCCCTGTACCCTTCTTCTTCCCACTTACAGCTCTATGCCATCCCTTGGTTCCTCACCATGTTTACGCGTAAGTACCATTCTCTATTCCTTTCAATACTGAATTCCCAAAAGGACAGCTCCGTTCTTGCCCACTGTTTTATATTTGCAATAATATTAGGCAATAATATACAGCATGGTAGTTAAGGCACTGGACTTCCACATGGCTAACCAAGGTGTGTGTCCTGCACTTGGCAGCTTGAAAAACATGCTAGGTGCGTGTGCATGTGTGCCCAAAATCCTGAGAGGAGGACGGAGGAGAAGGGGGGTGTAGCATGGCCATCCCAGCAGGGGGTTCTCACTTTTTCTCTCTCT